GCCCTAACAGCCGTTACAGCCGCGTTGTCTTTGCCGGCAATACTATCTGTTTATACTACCAGTTGTCGAGGCCGAAAGCAGAACGGGACAGACGAGTTCCGATAGCGGTCGGTGAGAGTTCAGCAACGAGTGTCAGTCATAGACCCATTGAAGGACCGTACCCCTCAGCTGTGTCCTGAAGCGGCCGAATATTGGCGAAACATGTGTCTGGGCTGTCAGTATCATGTACTATATAACCTCAGTATATATAACTGCCTATCTGTTGGCAATCTAATGAATATTACGCGGTTATCTTGCCATGGCTGATAGGTTTCTGTCCAATTTTTCGTATTAAATTTTTGTTCTTCAAGCACATACACCGCAGTTTAAATTGGTTTAATCCGAGTTAGCGATTAATTTCTGAAGAAATTGAAAAGAGAAGCAGTCTTTCTATTTCGTCTTAGCAGCTGAAAATCGCTTCTGCATAATTCCGACTATCGGTATGTTGATGGGTGAGAAAACGGCGGCGGCGGCGGCGGCGGCCTGTCAGTTTGCAATGTTCATTTCATGCGCGCTTGTTTAATCTCAGTGGGAGGCCTGTGCGCCTGTGTCTTCCACTTCGAGTACAATCCTAGTGGTGACTGAACGCCCGCCGACGGCCAGCGATATATCACCAAACGAGTGGCTTCTAAGCCATCTCAACTTTCTGCTGCTGCCGCTGGATTTAGCAGTTATTTTCGCAAAAGCATATTCTCCTGCCTAGGTCTATCCTTGAATACTTTCTATGTCTCTCTGTCTCTAAAACGAAAATGTTGGCGTTCCTGGTGTCGGTAAGGGTACTCTTGGGGTGTTGAGGATACTGATGAGGAGGAGAAGGAGAAGGGAGGGAAGCATAATACAGATAAACCAGCTTTTTAATTTCCTGAGAAACTAATTTCTGTTCGCGGTATACATCAGTAATATTTCAGGTTTATGGGCATAGACCGAAATTGTAAGTGTGTATTTGGGTTGAAACCCATTCAACCACTGCGAAATATGCACTTGCTGCCAACGGACAGACTTTAGTAGTATATATTGATGTTGTAACTTATCATACTAACAGGCTAGGTACTAGGTAAAAGGTCTAGATAGATGTTTCGCCCGTATTCTGCCGCTGTTTGACACCGGCACATCAACCAGAAAGCAGACAGGGAAAGCTGGGGTACCCACTGATGAGCCGGACTCCTTGCAGCTGTGTCAAGCAGCGGCAGAATACCGGCGAAACACGTGTCTGAACCCCTTTAACTAGTACCTAGACTGTTAGTATAGTAAGTTACAACATCAATACAGATAACGATTACCGTAAAATGCTGTGTTCTGATATGCATGACACGTCCGTAGAACATAAACTCGCGAAGGAACCTCTTCAAAGGTTTCATTGCCCGGAGCATTTGCATGCATATTTATCCGGATGATGCTTTTGCATTCCATTTGTCGTCTTCTTATGCCTTTGGCTCCAAGTACTGCTTTCTGATGAGCTGTTTAAGGTGTCCAAACGAAACTCGGTTTTCATATATGCGTTTATGTTTTTTAATTCTAGCCGAAGTGGACCCCTCCAGCATAGAGGAGAATCGTCTAGCGGCG